TACACAAAATGAACACTTCCAGCATACCTTCAGGTCTGCATTAGTGGGAACTCTGCATACAAAGGAGAAATCCACATGCCTTACAGAGCAGAGTTCTCAAAATGCTTCTGCTGTTATGACACAGCAGTGACTGCCAAGCTCCTTCAGCCCAGGGTTCAAGCACAATGACTCTGAGCAGCTTCACATCCCTTCTCAGAGTCTCAGCATCTGCCAGCCTCTTCCATTTCCTTCCTGTACATTTTATCTGTGCTTTTATCTTTTCCTCCCTTTATTTTGCTTTATCTATTTTCGACAATAGTGACTAGCACAGTATAACAGCATTATATAAGCTTTTTACAGTGCCATGTTTTGCTTTACAGAGTGAACATAAATGAGGAAACACTAACTTAAACTCTGACAGCCAATGCTGGATGTATCAGCTCGGCCTATAAATAAGCACTGATCACCTCCATTTTATTGAACTCATTTTCCAGGCAAGCAAAGACCACAAGATTCCTCTGCAAATTTTCCCTTTACACTCTCCAGCAGTGCTGCTAGTGTCAGCCACGACAGATTTATAGCCTATTCATTCATGGGAACAAAAACCCTGCCAGGGCTGGTCATGCAACACGCAGTAGCAGTTAGTTCAGAAGATAACAGCTGCAATACCTCACTTCCTTATTCAGCACTCTACAGCATACACTACTTCAGAGATAATAAATGCTTCTTGTTTGTATTTCTTGAGCAATATCGGAGGAAAGGGTCCACATTACAACAGTATGAAGTGGCACTGCAACACAGGGGGATTAATCAGTGTTTTCCTTGTATTTATTCCTTCTCCAGCTTTATGGTTTTATAACTGACATTAGAAAGTTACTCTTGACTATTTTTATATACTGTCACTTCCAGGGACAGTCAAATATTTAAATTTTGAATTTAGTGCCCGTTTAATTTAAAAGGTTATTTTGAATTATTTTGAGTACCGAGGACTTACAATACGCGGTGCTTTAACAGTGAGAAAGCTTCACCATTTGTCAGGATTAACCAGTTATTCTCCTTCACACTCACAGTTAAAAAGTGAGCTTAATCTGAAGCAACTGAACTACAGATCATAAAATTACTAGATCCCTTTCACTGTATTGAAAAGCGAATTAAAGTCTGCGATGAGTTTGTAAATATTCCTTAATTGCAATACGATGCAGCAGAGAGGAGATACCAGACCAATAGCAACAGTACTGTTTTTGGAGGTGGTGCTCAGAGCCATCAATTTTGGAAGAGCTGCTCTTACATAAAACATCCACTTGGGACACTGGGTGGCTTTTTAAGCAATGCACTGTGGTCTCTTCGCAGATGATGCAAACCTTTTCCCTCTTCACAGATGTTTAAGTGGGTCTGCAGTAACTACACTGTCGGCTCTTCTGCAGTAGCCCACTTCTCCCATTGAATACACACGTTAATATTATACCAAGCTCTAGAGAGTGGGGACTAGAGCCAAGGCCCATCTGTGAGCAACAAATGAGTATTTTCACAATCCCACTGAATGACACTGCACTGACATGTAAAGTGAAGTGAACTTCTAGAAACTTCCAATTTCCATCTTTTTTCACCTCTCTATTGCAAGACAGTATTGTCCAAATGAAGCTCAAAAGTGATCCTATAAAATTACAGTATAGTCAAGATATTTTTTTTTTTTTTTTAATATATTTTTAGGTTTTGAGCTGAAGGCTGAACAAATTTGTCTCTTACAGATCTTTAGTAGACCTGGATTTCTAATCTTCAAAAATTCTGCAACCTTGGTCTTCTTCAAGAAAGAGAAACTTTTATTCCTTTGCCAGCAGTAAACACAAAGCGGTCTGTAAAATAGCTGTACAAACCACAAACATTTAGCATCTTAAATTTCTTATAAGCTTTAATTAAAGAGTCACAATCCACTGTCCCAGCTTTTTTTTTTTTTTTTTTAATTTGAACAGATGCCTGTATTTCATGGCATATTGAAATGTATATGCCTGTAAAGGTGGAAAATATGGGAGTGATTAAGAAAAAACAGACTCTGAAGTAAGCAAACTATTAGCTATACTAATTAAAAAATTAACTCATCCTTTACAAATCTTATCTCTCTTTTCATACCACACCATACAGCCATCTTACTAGATCAGACCCAAGGTCTACAGCATTGAAAATTCCAACACAAATGGCTGCTTGGACCACAAGAGCAATACAACCCACTGAAGACATTCCTGCATAACCTCCTTAAATTCAAGCACATGCTCTAGCAACATGCAGAGAGTCTTCCAGATTTAACCCCAAATCTCCTACTTCAGTCACTTTTACTCCATGAAATGCATAGAAAATATGAGATCAGGCAGCAGTTACTGTAACTTCATTCTTTGTTAATCAATCAGGTTTTATTGTGTAGACTCTGGCTCAACTCATAACGCTGGAAGGAACCTAACACAGCAGTTTAAGATTTCACCAGTTTAATAACCCTTGCTAATTGAAGGCAGAGGGAACCCACACACTGTATTGAGGTTTTTAGTACCCAACCTTCTCCTATGGGGGAGAAGGAAAGGAGAAAAGATCAGAATTTGAAAGAGGGAGGGAGAGGACTGTAGGTAAGTAAACACTCCAATCATTCATCCCTGCATTGGTTGTTCTGGCAATATAAACTTAAACATATCTATATACAGTTAATTGTACAATATATGTACAGAAGCTTTTATGAAGGAGCCCATTTTACTGATGAAAACTAGCCACCTCCTGATGCAAAACTAGGATTTTTCCCAGTCAGCATAGAAATACATTCATTTTACGTGTAATTGTTCTTCTCATTCAAATCACCTCACATAACAAATGCTAGAAGACATTATATAGTTCATCTGCTACGCAGTCTCTTTATGAGTTGAGGCTTCAATGCTTTAATGGGCAAATTGCCTGATTTAAGTAAATCATGTCACCTCCATCCAAGTAATCATATTTGTTGCAGACTTGCTGACCTCATCTCTACACTAAAAACAAAAACATTTACATTTTCAGCTTGAGATATTTAGTTCAAATGATTTACAAACAGGTTGCAATGAAAACTGATTTCAGCCTACGCCAAAGATATTATTTAAGTCCTTTGTTGACAGAGTTTACAGATATCTAATTATTGATTACTGTCATTAAAACAGAGATGACATTTTTGCACAAAGAAAACAACTTGTGAGATAATTGCCCTAAGGTTACCACTACAGTTAGAAAAATGTTAGTCTCAGGGAAATGGTTAAAAAGATAAAATTACGTATCTGCTGTGATAATAGGTTTCAGGGTAGGGTTGAGTTTTTTTGGTAAACATTATTTCCCCCTTTGCTTCTTACAAGAAATCTCTTACAAGACGCTTTCCACAGCATTACGTCATAACTTTCAAAAACATGGAATGTTTTTAAAATCGCTCCAGTTAACCAGTTCTCTGAAATTTCAAGCAAATTTTGAGCAATCAAACAAAAAGATGTTAATGAAGCTTTAAAAAAAAAATACACATATTTAGATACATTCGTAATTTAATTTTAAATTTGAGGTACAAAGGTAAGATTTTAAGAAATTGGGCAAGATTTCAATGCACAAGCCTAGTGGGGCTCATAGAACCACTGGATTTTGCTTACTACATAAGGAAAAACATTTTTAGGTCACCATCCAAGCTTTCCTCCAAAACGAAGTAAGCTTTTTTCCTAAGTTTATACAGCTCAGAATCCTTCATAACAAACCCCTTCAACTGTTTTTAGTAGTAGCACAGAATCCTCCAAAATGGCTTTCTTTTTTAGCCCTTCTTCAGGTAAAAGAATGCCTACTTCTAGTGCATACTATTTGTTCTGATTAAGAATACTTAGAGTGGAGGAGAAAAACTGAAGATGTAAAAAAAAAAAAAAAAAAAAAAACACACCAAATAAGGAAAGCTCAACATTTCTTTTCCTTCAGATCCTTTCTGCAAGGTTCTCTCCACAACATTTCCCTTTCATCTGTTTACTAAGATTGTTCCAGAAGAATCAAAAAAAGGGAGAGAGTGAAAAAGCTCTCTAGGCAATAGAATTAAAGGTGGTAATAGAGGAAATACAAAGGTGATAATTGACTTCAATGGTCAATCCAGCCTTAAATTCTTTGACACTTGTCTTTACAGTTGATTTAATGATTAAAAAAGTTTCCAGCTGGTCACAATGCGTCATCTCAGTAAAATCTGTTTGCTAAATATATAATTATCTCCTACTAAAGATCTCAGATAATTTCTTTGGAAATTTATAATAACAATCCTCAATCTTGTTACCCAGCATACCAAAACAGCAGCCCAACATGACTCCTGGCTAGGGGTTCCAATACTCCTAAGCGCGTATGGGTGAAAGATATTTCTTTTTGCTCCTCTTTCATACTCCTTCTTTCTCCAATTCATTGAAGGCTCCTATGTGAAGCACCAGTGAAAGTGCTGAAACTGAGAACATTAGCGTCCCATGTACTATGTGCATAGAAAAAGCTTAAGCTAAATCTTTTTTCATATCCATACAATGTGCTTTTAGTGCCAAGCAGCTACATGATTGTCCATAAAGTTTTGGACACTCTGTATCACATTCTGGAATACACTGTGCAACGGATTAGATTGTCTTGTCAATCTTTTTTTCCTTAAATATGATTTCTATCTTTGCCAATAGATTTTGCAACATCTTCATTGGTAATACAGAAGTTGTATCCTTTAAAAATGGCATCATAACTGTCTTCATCTTTAGACAAGAGTGTGGATTAACAGGTTTGTAGAAAAACAAACCTTGTAAGCGATGCCTATCTGATGCCCTTGCATGCTAATATGTAAGCATGCCTATATGATATTTTTCATTATTACTCATTAAAATCAACTTTAGAAGCTAACCATGAAATTGAATGTTACCAAATAATATTTGCGTCCACATCTTCAAATAAAAAAAAAAAAAAAAAATCAAGTTTGGGCTACTGATGATAGATAACACCTAATATTTCATAATTTGAGCTCAAATTGTTACCTTGAAATTGCACTTAGGTCTCTTATCTCTTGCTCCCCATAGTACACATTAATCAGTGACAGCATCTATTAATTCACAAAACAGAAACAATAAAATAGTTATGTCCAGTTCCTATTGAGTACAGCAAACAATATGCTCAGTTATCTTTGATTGCGAATCTAAAACCAAAAACACTGTGTTATATGGCTTCATGAACAGCTAAAGCAACTTGAGTTTAAACCATCACTTTCCAGAGCCATCTCAGAACCTCAATTCTGAGACACCCCGTACAGTCCCTTAAAACAGAGACTGCTACTTTCTAAAAAGGTGTTATGGCTTGTGATTCTTATTTTCTCAGTTTAAAGAGACAATTCTCACCTGAAGTGGCCTCCTTCTCACACCTGAGTGCAGTTTATCTACCTCAGAAACCACAGAGAAGGCTGGAACAAGCAGACCACAAGTAGAGAGAATCTCTCTGAATTTTCTCTCTGTTGTCATAACTCTTTCCACATGGCATTGTTTCATCTTCAGCTACGTGGCACGTGAATTTTCGTAAGAACTACAGTGTTCTGCAATCATCTCATTTTTGTGGAAAAAATAAAATAATAAAATGACCTGGCCAGAGACTTTATGTGTCTGTACCTGCTGATATCAGATCTCTTTACCTCAATAGTAATATTTATTTTTCTTTTTAAAGTCAGTTACATTTCTCATTGTAAAAAATTACCCTCATCACGCAGATGTATTGATTATTTGTTTCAGGGTAGCATTCTAAAGGAGCATTCATGAAACTTCAATAATGATTCATTACATCTGATTGATATGTAATGGAATCACTATCCAACATTTGAAGCACACAGTAAAGGAAATCCACAAGCAATAAAAGCTTATAACAGTCAATATGTTTGAGGCCTTAAACGTCCCAGATGGAAAAGCAGAGCAAACACTGCTCAAATAACTCAAGTTGTATCAGAAGTGTAAAGCTATTCCAGGCATATACAGCAAAAACTTGGTCTGAGTTGCAAGTTGTTTCATTCATTTTCAGAATAATAAAATAGTCTCTTTTTCCACAGTTTCAATTTTCCTAAAATGAAGTTATGGCATTTTCATGTTCGGAAATTTTCCCTCCTTTGTATATCTAGAGTGCATTCTTTCAGTTTGAAGGTCTGATCTTTTTTATACACTGATGTCAGAAAAATGATAGGTTAAATTTGTCTAAACCACACTGCTTTTGACCAACATCATCATTAGTTTAATATATAAATACATATTTAAACATACGCACTAATCAACATCCTGTTTTTGCTTGTCAAGAATTTGCATTTACATCAAATCTCTTTCCTCCCTACTTTAAAGATCAGAAGATATTCTTCAAAATTGTAAGAGATTGCAGCATACAGTTTTCTCATTTAAAGACACTCAGGCTAGAAGCGTGACAGAAACCTTATTTTATATGACCCTCTGCTCTGTGGAATAGATAGAAACCTCCACTAAAACTTTATTTTGTAGACTTCTAATGACTACAGACCCATTAGACCTTCCTTGTAATTGATATCTGCCATGTACAAGTAATAAGGTGCACTCTGTAAAGGTCTTCTAATGATCATCCTCCCTGATGCAAGGGATAATAGCCAGTGTCATGAGTTGAGGTTAAATAAACTGTAAGTGTGTAACTTTATGGGATGCTAATTAGAAAGCAGGTGAATACAAATAAGAAGCAGAGAGGGTATGTGATAAGACAGAAGGGGAGGAAGAAAGAGTGTGAGCTCTAACTGCCAGATAAAAAGACAGTCTTCCTTCTCTGAGCTGAGATTTTTGAAGCTATGTAATAGCCCCGACTAAGTGAAGCTTTGTATTAAAGAGCAAAAGGTATTTAAAATTCTATTTTAAATTTTGTAAGGTGTCAAAGGGAAACAGACGCTGTTTTCAATATTATTTCTGTCCCTTTTGAACAGAAGGCTCTTAATTTTAGTTATATTACTTCTTTTACCTGAAATCCTCTTCTCTGGAGTTCACTTGCTGTCTATCTCAGCACTTTCTTTCTCTTTCCTTTCTTCTCCTTTTCTTTATAGAGTTGTCTATGTCGTCCCTTTCACAATACATTCATGTAAAGATGACAGTGAAACTCTTCAGCTCACCACAGGATGCTGTTACTGACAATTATAATTAGCATGCTATCACGATCACTGAAGGAAAGAACACGTTACAGCCCCACTATGGGTTGTTGCCTCTTCAATTGCTTATACCATTGTTCTCGAGATCTTGTTAAAATTATATTTAATGACTGCTGTTTAGATTCGTTTATCATGAAACCTTATACACACAGGTTATTCACCCATTTAGTTTGCCATCTCCCTTCTATCATCTTCCTTTTTCATTAACTGCCCGCTAACAGGAATTTCACCTGCTAACATAATTCATTCTCTACACTAGTATGTCTTTATTACTTAAATGCACATAACATTTGTTTACTTCACTGATTTATTGCTGAAGATTACTGTTTGTATTTTCCTCACTTTGTTTTCCTTCTCAACGTTTTGGGGATATTGGCTGAACAATTGTATTCTAATCAATACCAAGATTAAATGGAATCACACACTTCTCCAACATATGTTTATCCTTGTGCTGAATAGAGCAACCATTCACTTTCAAATATTTTCAGTTTTGCTGTTTAGAATTAAAGCAAATGTTTACTGCTTGTTGTACATTACTATTTTCTAATGATTATGTATATACTTAAAAGAGAATTGCACAGTATTACTTATCAGTTGCCCAATTCACAGTCATTCTGCTACCCAAGAAGTAATCTTCCAGACAATCTTTCAAGTTAGTTCTGCTAGGAGCAAGGAACTGAAGTAGAGGGAATCACAAGTCAAAAATAGCACTCAGACACACATGTACACGTGTACCAAAGCTGCCAGTGTGCAGCCATACACTTAGCTGCAATAAATATTAAAGCTGAATAAATATCTCTATATATATTCATAATCCTGTGAACTATACAGTGTCAATTCAGGTACTCATACTTGGCATTCAGTAGTTTTGTTCTAGTAAATGTATGAATTATTCCAGATCCACAGAATGACAACAGGCAAGTTCAAGATGTCGTTAATTTTCACTGGACGTACGGCTGATGCAACACTGTCTTAACTCTACAAATAAATAAGCACTACTGAAGTATTCCAGTATCTGTTGCACATACATGTTCAGGAGTTCACTACTTGCTTTTCTCCATGCAAAGAAGAAGGATTTACTGAACTGACGAAAGACAAGAACAGTCAGAGAAAATGACTATACAGCATAGTGGAAAGGAAGGAAAAAGTTGTAAATATGCAGAATTGAGCGAGTGCCTCCTGTGGACTCAAAGCATTTCCTTTTCCTAGAAAAACTTCTTCATACTGTCCTAAAACATGCATCATACTTGACTTCTGCCTCAACAACATAATTCCTTCTCCAATTCAGAAACACTCTCAGAACATGCTTTTATGCTATCTATTTTTCTTATCTCTGCTTATTTAGAGACCTCCATGCAGGGCTTCAACCTGACTACCAATAATGTCTCCATGAGGTGATAAGCCCAATGCAGTGGGGACAAAGACTGAAGTACTTGTAGTTTCAGGCACAACATTTTCTTAGTAAGTTTCTGTAGCAGTTGTTTCTGTCAAAATTGTCTAAATTAACATATCAAAATCACTTGAAAAAATTCATTAAATGAAGGAAAAATATTTTCATCTTCTAAACTACCAGTCTTTTGCTACCCTCTCTTCACCTTTCACATATGCAAAAGGCAAACAAAATGACGTTCCAACAAGACACACTGGCATATTCTCTTATAACATTTTATCCAACTCAGTAAATTCTCGGCAGTTTTGACAACTACAAGCATATGTGATTCTTTATTTTATTGATGCATTGTTTCATTTTCTTTTCTTCTTCAAGGATACCAAACACTACATTCCCATATTCCGAATTTCTAAGCATAAAAACTTTCCAGGCACGCATCTTGTTTTGATCACGCATGCTCCAGAACTCCACATACTGAAGAAACACTTTGAATGGCTGACACAAGTTTCCTAACCAGAGGGTCAGCACTGTCAGGCTACATGGCTGCCACCCACACAGGCTCCCTCGCAGTAGGAAACTTCTCAAGCATTTCAAATATACTGAATGTAATGGCACCATAAAGGGATTGCATGTATCCAACCACAGGCAACGTATTTAGCCCTGTGTTAAAGACTAGATATACAGATAAACACACACAGCTCTGTGGTGGTCAGAGATCTCATTTGGTGCTTTCTCGCTCTGTGGCACATGATGCCTTTGACCTTAATAGTTAAAATCCCCCCTATTACTCACATCCTCAAGCACCCCTAAAACAATCTGACAGAATGTAACCTACAGTAAACACTGTTTCTGAACTAAATGATACCCCAGCACAGAGGGAAACCGACTGAAAACATTCTCTATTTCCTGATTCTGCTACACTGAGGACCTGTAAGCAGCAGCATCCACATTATTTGTTTCAGATGCCACCATGTGCTCATGGGAGATTCAGGGCAAGGGGCACACTTCGACTCTTCACATGCCAAGAGGAAGAAAATCAATTTCAATACCCAGGGGGAGAAATTACTACAAGAGAAGGTCACTCAACACTACAAGCTGCTCCATTATCATGCAGTCTTGGAAGGAATCCTACAAAAATTAGGTAGCTGTTGAGTCTTAGCTGCTAAATTATAATAAGTAACCTGGATTAATGTGAAAGTTACATAGGGGAACTAAACCAAACTAGGCAAGATCTGCTTACCTACGTTTGTTCTGTTAAAGAATTTAGACTAAGAAGTTGTTTGATACTGAAGGTCAATAATTTGCACACAGTAAAAAATAATTCTCACAAAACAAGAAAAGATTCACACCAAGTTGGGATGGCTGCTAATGGACAGTAGGGCATCCCTGGTGAAAACCAGTCCAACATCCACTAATAACCACCAGTCTAATAACCACTCTTAATATTCCAAGAATCTCCTCTTCTTTAGAAATTAGCATGTTCGTTCAAAGGAAGACTTCAATTACACACATACAATTTTTGGTGGCTAAAGCTCTACTGAAGAAATGTACAGCCCGTACCAAATTCAACCACGTGTAAGTGGCTTTGCAAACAGAAAATAAACTGGCAGAGAAACAACAACTGTAAAAACAGTAAAAAGTTGATCATTTTAGCCACATTTTCTTTAACCAGCAAGCATTCAGAAGTGCAAAGGAAAGCACATTCCAGAACAGACAGATACTGTCATAAAAAAGCTAAATATGACAAACAAATATCAAAATAGAAGTGCTACTAGACATCCAACTAACCTTAACATGGATTTAGAGAAGCTCATTTTGTACAAAAATCAAGATCAAATGTAGAAAACAAAACTGCAAAACGAGACTATAATTAGCTAGTAAAAAGTGAACTCATCCGTACACAATGAAATGCTCACTATTGACAAGTGCCTCAAACATATTATTAATTTCACAGTATTTCACAGTTTTTTGTTCTTCTTTAGAGCTTTTGTCACTGGATAATGTGATCCTAAAAAAGCACCATTCACCTAATAGTCATGTGTTGTTTTTTTTTAAGTTACTGTGAACATGGAAGCATAGAAAACAAGACTTCAATTTCATCTTAACTTACATAAGAAAACAAAATAAGTGAGTTTTAAGGCCCTACTCGTGACGCCTAAGTGCTTGGTCAGACTCAATATCCTAAGCAAGGATTAGAATTTAACTAAAACAAGTCTAAAAGAACACTTATTTTGTACACCAGGATTACAAAATAAGGGCATATACCCAAAAACATCCCCACTTGGGTTATATTATTTTCCCTGAAATACTCCCACACCTGTCATTCTTATGTAGATGCCAGCTTTTCTTAAAAAGGTTTCTTCTCATTGCTTTTTCATTTTCCCTGACATCACAGGCTAGATGCACAGAAACTGAACCACAGTACTGTGCTCAAGGATGACAAAAGAATGGACGCAAAAGGACACCAGGTGCTCTCTCAACTCTTTGGAATAGGGCTGGAGAACACCTGCGTGAGATACCTGGGAGGAGTTAGAATGATTCAAGAACAGAAACAAGTCAGTGGAGAATATTGGATCAGAATTCGGAAGCAGTTGAAACAGGTAAGTTAGCTGGAGATAGGGCTGCACTGGGAGACTGAGCAGCATTAAAAGGCACCAAAAGGCACTTTGCTTAAAACTTCTGCTTTGAGTTTCACTGTGTGTAATTTAATTACGGCAACACACACTGCATGATAAATGCTCTGTGAACACTAATAAAAAACACTCAGCTGCAAAATATCTTTGAGTCTAGAGACTGACAAGTTGACAGCACAGAATAGCCCTGTAGCTTGTATGCCATAGATGCTGAAAATCGCAGGTTAAATCTAATGCAGTCTAACTTGCTCTCCCTTTGCACCATCCAATAATATTTAATCATAACTCAGAAGATGAAACAAAGTCCCTTCTGTAAGGGGGAAAGGCAAACTACAGATGTCAGCAATTTTTTTTTTTTTTTTTTAAACAAAGCACAAATGATAAGTAAACATAAAATTAACCCAAAATCTAGTAGCACCTCAGCAGAACATCTCATCACATTTGAAAGCACTGCATGTAAATGAAGTGCAGAATGGAATTTTCAAGAGCCTCTGTCTGACTTTTAACATGCTGTAAACAGTGCTGCAGGCATGAAGATTTTATGCATTTTATGTACGTATATCTTGATTCTCATGCAAACATTAACACACTTTTTTCTTCCATACCTGGCACGAGATGGAAAATATTTAAATCCTGTCCTGTACCAACACAACTGGGATTAGAATAGATTTGAAAACAAGGCCAAGACAAAACATAGAATTTATATAGACTCCTTTACAGTCAGTATTTATTTTAAAAAATCATATTTGTTTCCAATATACATATTAAAAAAAAAACATGTTTTTACTTATGGTACTAAAGAGAATTTTAATGATATCTATTCTGGACATTGTGTTACACCAAGTGTAATGCCAAGTTCAGTCAAGACTGTAACATAAAATTGGTAGCACCATGTTATTTTGCTTTTCCTATTTAATTTTTTAGTCACTGAGTGTGTACACTGTGCTTCTCTTGGGAAATTAACTATTTTTCCCCTAGTTGCTACCCCAAATGGAACGCACAAGACACATACGAATTTGCACGTTATGCAGCCAACATCTCTTTGCAGTTCTACTTTTCCACTCTGTAATACATTAATTGAGTGTCCCTATAGCCCAGAGAGTGTCAAAGCACAATGGGAAAACACAATACCTGCACTAATAGAAGATTTTGCCAATAGCTGTTCATAGCCAGCTATGATTTTTGTATTCCACCCCAGATTAAAATGCAAGCAAACCAGAGTTCAACTTGCTTCTGCCCTGTAGCCTCCAAACAGTACAGCAGCGATCATCTACTCCAGGTGTTAAGATCAAGAAACCAAATTGCTTCAAGATCTTTCCTAAAAGGTCATTTTTTGTTTATATATAACTTGATTTATTAATTGCATTAGTAACAACATAGCTAATATAACAATCATTTACATCAAAATTGGGAAAAAAAAAAAAAAAAAAAAAAAACAACCCACCAGTTTTCTTTTTTGAGAATGCTTTGACTTTGGAGCATAAAAACACACAGGAAAAAGAGAGAACCTGAAGCTTCTTGTGAAACTCTTAAATACTAATAGGTTAAAAACCAATCATCTATACTATTCCCTCAAATATTAATTCATGTATAGAGGACAGAATTATCTATTCATTTGCTCCCATGCAGTAAATTAATAGATGTAGCAACAACAGGCATCTGTACCTTTCCAGGACTAGCAGTTTATTTGGCCCAAAGGATATATTCCTCTTGAGAAATCAACAAGATCAAAGGCATAATGAGAAATCCTGAGGGGCCTTATACTACTGCCTGATATTTCCTGATATTTCCTTGCTTATATATCAGCATGCAACTGATAAAGTACATTTTTCTAGCTTCACAACTTACATTGTTATAACCTCACCTTGGAACCCTTCACTAAAGCAAGGAAAGATCAAGTCATGGACAGCAGTGGCTTTAAACTTTCCACTTCAGAATTCTCCTCCTTCCCCCCCCAATATGGAAACTCACAGTTAGCTTTTTCCATTAGGAAGACAGGCTGAAACCTATCTCCAACTGTTCTGTCAGCACAGAAAAACTACTCTCAAGGAAATATTTAAGTAGCCATTCCATGATGGTGCTTGTCCCAGCTATCAAGTCCTACATAACAGCCTATACCCAGGACAGCAAGGTGTTTTAAGCATTTTAACTATCTAATTCAATGCAAGAAATGGCAAATGAAACATTCTGCATGCTAGAAGGAATACGTAACTTGAGCACTGATGTGTCTCGCATCCAAGGCAGAGCACTGAAAATACAAGATACTTCCAAGGTATTGTAAGCACCTTTCTAGTATCTTCCTCCTCCAAACAACTTGCCACTCCACTGTCACTCAAGCAATAGTTAGCTCACATATTAGCTAAAGACCATCTAGAGAACATGCAGTTGCCATCTTAATCCCACAAGATTTCCATACAAGAAACACTACCAAAACAAGTGACCCTATTAACGCAAATAAGTTTCTGAACTGTGTATATACCTAGCTCAAATGAAACATAAGGAATGGTATCCTGGTACCACTAGACACTATTTAGGACACTGCATTCACAGTGTTTACAAGAGAACATTTTAAGATTCTTTTTTTTTTTTTAAATATTTTTCTAGTGATTTCACATACACAAACGCACACCTTGTCTGGCCGTCAGGTGGGTTTAGTGAATCAACTCTCAGTACAGTGCTGTTCTTCCTAAGAGGCAGCAAAACCACTTCTGACAAGTTCTTTGCAACGCCAGGCAAAGTATTGTTAGGAATAACAATAATCGTATACATCAAAAATTCAACTCACCCAGCTGATGAGCATCTCATAACAGTGGAACATTCCTTCTCAGGAGGCAGTCCTCATCCAGGACGTGTTCTCCCTTTGGAGGCTAGCCCTTAAATGAGCCCAGGGAGGGGTGGCTCACCCCTCCCAATGAGGTGGGAAGCACCTCAATGAAGTCAATCACTTGTGTCTGTACTTCCAGAGCCAGCCACCCCCTTCACCAGGTGCTCAATCATCAGTTCAGGCCCTGACATAACAGTTCCCCTACAGGTGCAAATTATCTCTCTCATTTGTGGCACCTGGTATGCTGGCCTTCTGCATTCACCTAACTTCTTGCCTGCTTGCCTTAGATATACCACAACAAAAACTTACTGATCTCAACTGAAATTATTATGTTCTGTTCCATAATTTCCTGAAGCTGCCACTTTTTCCCAAGACATAACACTACAATGTTTTGCATTATTATTGGTGACCCCAATAACTTTGTCTTCAGAAACAGAGTGGAAGTAAGAAAAGCAGCAGACGTAGCACAAAAACTGCAACTTCATCTGCTTTGAGATAATCATACGCTACAGCCTCACTTTCTGATAATGCCAAAGTCCAAGTAACAATGTTTTTTCTGTTAATCCAATGTTTATTTTGGTATTATTTACACTCTGACACACCAGCTGACACAGTGTGACCCCTGCAGTCTTTAAGCAACAAACTGCAAAGGAAACATGACTGCTGTAACACTGGAATGTAGATAAACCAGATACAGTTTGTGTCATGTAATGCCCTTTTAATGCAGTCAAACCCAATTCAACTGACTTTAGATCCATAAACCCTCTAGAGGCTGATGACATTCTTCAGCAAGAACTCCTGGCTGACAACAGCAAGCCAGACTCTACACTTACCTCTGTTATATGAAGACAGCATATATTTGCTTCTTGGGTCACTGAAGCTTTTCATTGCATCTCTGGCAAAACTGAAGCAAAATATATTACCTGAAAAACAACACTACTTTTCTCACATACAAAAAGCAGTGATTAAATATTGCTTTTGATACAAAGCATAAAGGAGTCAGAAATCTTGGGGTAGCACCATGCTATACTTCCTTTTAATGTTTAGACATGTATTGTTCCAGTAAAGCAGTACACCTCTATACTCCAAATAGTACTTAAGGAATAGTAATAATATTAAAAAATAATGTTCACCTTTAATCACCACTGGCACAGTTGTACTTTGCCTCAGAAGGTACTGCTTGAAATCAGCTACGCAACCAGGAACAGAAACGAAGTCCTGTCTTGCAATAGCTCCTGAGCAGTATTCCCAGAGCTTGTAGGACAGCTCAGACTGCAGTGAATATATGCTTCTGGGCATCAGAAAATTAAACCTATATGCAAGCACAGTGAAATGCATCACTAGAACTTTACTGCCTGTAAAAACAAGCCACATATTCCACTTTTCCTTTCAAAGTTGGAATAGTGTTGATCATTTTTCCTCCAATATATTCATGTGAACAAGATATTTCATCTCACAGATTTTACCCCAGTTCTGTCTGTGCACATTTTAAATAAATTAAGACAAAATAAATCCATTTTATTGTATTATTTTGTGCCACCTCTATGAAATAATGCTCATCTCTGTATTTTGTAAGGGATGTTGACGTGCCTAAAAATGGTGCATGAAGTATAATCTTCAAGGATCACACTGCTAGAAAAATAAATCTAAGACCATGTTTCAAGCCCAGAATGGCACCACTTTTGATTGAAATGCCTCTGAAACATCCATTTTGATACAGCTAAATTCATACAATTGATCACTAGTGTAGCTGTAACAAAACTAGTGACTAGTTGCTTTGCTTTCTAAACATCTGTTCATCTCTTGCGAGCATAAAGCATTCCTGTGAAATAAATTACATGTAATCCTTCAGTTTTGGAAAGGAGAACTGCAAACTCACAGCAGGAAAAACCACGCTACAAATAAGTGCCAGTCAGATCACATACCAAAAAAAAAAAAAAAGAAAAAAATCTCCTCCCATGACTGTTTTATTCATTACAGATCTCAGTCAAATAACCTTATTGTAACAAAATACTGATACTTCTCCTCCTGTTTCTCACATTCCAAGATCCAGGAATCTCCCAAGCTGATGAAGCACTAGCAGGACAGAGAAACGGAACTGAGGTACTCTAAAATAATAAAACAACTTTTTGCAAAGCCAAAACCAAATGATTAATAAGGAAAAAGTGATCCACTCACAAAGCAAAGACAACTTTAGAATTTTATTATCTAAAACTGAAGTTAACTGATGTCATCTTTATTCATCTTTTGACTATCACAACATTAGAGCTTTCCATAAAATCTGAAAATATGTGGCAGAACGAGCAAGAAAAGCCCATGCTGATAAAGAAATTAATTTATGTTTTGGAACAGGAAGTTGTGTAAAAACTGTAGTTCTCAGTTTTGATTTTGGTAGCTCTTTGGTAATTCCAGAAATCGTGAAAGCAAAGAGAGGTAAAAATAACCAAAGGGACAAGAATGTTGAGTACCCAGTAGTTGAGAGAAGCAACTCCCTTGGCTTCTAGCATTAGTTTCACTTTCACTTTGAGTTCTAATGTGAAAAAAATAGTTTTATGAATCAAGAATCAGCAAGCTTTTCCTGAAGAAAGCATTTTACAACAGCATTCAGAAGCCATTTTTTCATCTACTATGATCAATGCCATTTAGATTTTCATGTATAATAAAAGCACATACATTCAAGTAGGAGGGTAAGTGGGCATGACCATCATATTAATCAAATACTGGCTTCAGAAGAGTTATCTGCTAGAGCAGGCATATAGCAAAGCTTAAATTTAACCTTCCTCTCTTAGTGTAAAACAACAGCTGCTTCTGTTATTTCACCGGAACAAAACAGGAACACAATTAGTGTGCCCAAATCAAGATCCTGGGCATCATTTTGAAGCTTAAAATAGGACAGTAAGGACCACAAGTTGCACAGTGTGCTCTCATTCAAGATGACGCAAAGATATAATATCAAAATTTGCGAAACAACTCATAAGCCATTAAAAATCTAAACAAAAAGACCTTCTTCACCACTCTTCCCAACCAGACAACTTACTTGTGAGTTCAATCAGTGAAATATATTGAAATTTTCACATTTCAATTTCCTTTAGTATTTTCATTTTTTAATTCACTCTCAGCCTATGTAAGAAATACTTTCAAGTTTGATTTCTGACCAGTACTGCATGAAGTAACACACTGTTGGTCATTTTAAGAAAGAAAACACTTGTGAAAAATACTCACAAAATGCAAGGTTCAGGGTTTGCTTTCCTAACTCACTTAACTTCTCCACAGAAAGGCTCCCAATGAAGGCATTCGAAATTCAAGAATATTCCTGTCAGGCTAACACTACAGACAAAATCAGTTATCCAAGTTTCTCATCCCACATCATTTTCTATCCACCATATTTTGGATTTCAGGAAGAAATTAGCACTTATTAGTATAAAATCTTATTAACACTTGGTTCAAAATGCAGGTGTACCAAACCACAAGGGAAACAGCAGAATTATCGAAGAGCACACAGTTCAGTTACAAAGACTCTATCCCTTCAAAAACAGTAGTCATTTTCACATACCTCATGTAGGTGTATTTAGCCCATACTTCTATGGTGTTCAAGTAAGGATATATAGCTGATTAAATAATTTATAGAATCACAGGATGGCCTGGGTTGAATAGGACCGCAACGATCATCTCATTTCAACCCCCTGCCATATGCAGGGACACCAACCATCAGGCCAGGCTGCCCAAAGCCACACAGCCTGGCCTTGAATGCCTCCAGGGATGGGGCATCCACAGTTGGGCAACCTGTTCCTGTGTGCCACCACCCTCTGTGTGAAACGCTTCCTCTTCATATCTAATCTAAACCTCCCCTGCCTCAGTTTAAAACCATCCACCCTCATAAACAGCCATTCCCCCTAAATGACAGGTACAGGACATCAGCACCCTTATTATCCAGTGAACTCCATGGGGCAGCTCACCTTTAGCGTTGAGATTTTATGTTAAGCACCTGCTTACTTATCTTGATCTTTTTAAAGGATTCTGCCTTTTTGAGAGGATCATAATTCATGATGAAAAACCTTCACTTCATCACAGAACTGTTTTTACTGAGTACAGTCCAAAATCTGATGAAACAGTATCTTTTGCCTAGAAGTATTCCCATGCAGTGGGTCCAATAATTACATCCAGAGATAGAGATTCAGTTAAAAATAAAAGTGCATTTTCATGTCTTTCATCTGCAAATCCAGATCTACAGGAAAAGATCTGGTAACAGAACATGGCTAAATCATTGCTAGAATTTGATGCCAGGCACTTGGTAGCAGAGAGACAAAAGCTACTTTATGAATAAGTAAATATATTAAAAGAGAGAGAGAGAGAGAGAGAGATAAGAAGAGGAAGCTATGTTATACAGGCTAACTGATTTTTGCAAACTTACCACAATCAAAGATAAGTGCTTAAAGCTGTTTTGCTTTTTTTTTTTCCTAAGAATTTCCCTCAAGCTTACATAAAAGAGCTGGCCGTATTTCAAATCCTAAAGCCTCTCTTTCTGTTAAGGATAGGGTACTCATATATACTTCCCCAAAGTGAGGAAAGATAACAGCCTATATGCTCAAATCTTTGCTGTCACATACAGGACCACAGAACTCACTCTAAGCACTGACTTCCAGTCAGTTCCTTACTGCAGTCACTGTGCATGATACATGACAGCATATATCTGCTAGTTTGGGTTTTGCTTTTCAAATACATTTCTGAATTGGCTTTGACACCAACTGTTCCACTTTAAAGCACAGTTCAAGTTGGCACCTTGACTGAAGTCAGAAATTTGTCAGTTTTACCATTAACTTTTTCAAGCTCATAATCACAACTTTTCACCCTCTAAAGCAGCTATACAAAGAATTATCAGATACTTGAGGACAATTGTTTTTAAAACACCTAATGAACTAAGACAAAAATGCACTTTTGCCAATAGCACACATACTTGTAAGTGCTTACAACTGAATTCCATCATGCCTGAAGACTGCAGGTTAAAAAGTCAATCAAACATAGATTCACAAGCCAGTTGGACACCTTTCAAAAACTTTCACCACGAACCCCTGATTTTGCTTAGTGTTTATAATACGTATTGGGAACAAAATGTATTATTGACATTTATATAGCGAATTTGAACTCTTACTGCAGTACAGCCTTGCAAATATATTATTTTTTATTATCTAGCACAGAGGCAAGTGCATCTTATGAAGAATGCTCTGCTACTACAATTAGTTCTGAATGTCTGGTATAAAATTGTCAACATTATAAAATAATGTAAAATTAGTTGTACAGTCAAATGACTATTACAAAGGACTGAAGCTTCACACTCACTTCATTTCACTTCATTGTCCTTGAGAACTTAATATGTTTCTACAAAAGAAAACCTGTATTTCCATTATCTCATCAGTCTTTATTAATTAGATAAACTTAAAAGAAAAGTAGCAACTAAACAAACTCAGTGATGCAGATGTGCTCCAATAAAACTTTTG